GTGTTCGCCAGGATGGTCTCGATCTCCTGACCTCGTGATCCACCCGTCTCGGCCTCCCAAAGTGCTGGGATTACAGGCTTGAGCCACCGCGCCCGGCCAATTTTGTATTTTTAGTAGAGACAGAGTTTCTCCATGTTGGTCAGGCTTCACATAGGTTAAAGCATTCTATAGTCGTTTTTGTTTTTTTGAGGCCGAGTCTCGCTCTGTTGCCAGGCTGGAGTGCAGTGGCGTGATCTCGGCTCACTGCAACCTCCGCCTCCTGGGTTCAAGTGATTCTCCTGCCTTAGCCTCCCGAGTAGCTGGGACTTTAGGCGCCCGCCACCACGCCCGGCTAATTTGTATTTTTAGTAGAGATGGGGTTTTACCATGTTGACCAGAATGGTCTCGATCTCTTGACCTCATGATCTGCCCGCCTCAGCCGCCCAAAGTGCTGGGATTACAGGAGTGAGCCACCGTGCCCGGCCTATAGTTATTATTGAGAACTACAAGTGAGAAAGTGGGGAGAACTGTGGTGTGCTTGTCAATTTCTTTTTTGTTGTTGTTGTTCCTTTTTTGAGACGGAGTCTTGCTCTGTTGCCCAGGCTAGAGTGCATTGGCGTGATTTCAGCTCACTGCAACCTCTGCCTCATGGGTTCAAGTGATTCTCCTGCCTCAGCCTCCCGAGTAGCTGGGATTACTGGCAAGTGCCATCATGCCCGGCTAATTTTTGTATTTTCAGTAGAGACGGGGGTTTCACCATGTTGGCCAGGCTGGTCTTGAACTCCTGACCTCAGGTGATCTGCCCGCCTCAGCCTCCCAAAGTACTGGGATTACAGGAGTGAGCCACCCCACCCAGCCGACACTTGTCAATTTCAGTATCCTCCCCCATGATCCCTCCAACCTCCTGACTGCTCTCCTTCCTTGCCCTTGACTCTGCCCCACATCAGCTTTACAGGTGTAACATCAGCCCCAGACCTTGATGTCACTAATAGTTGTGCCCCTTACAGAATCGCAGTTCCCAGCTCCCCACTTCCCGACCCTCACCTCCCAGCTTCTCAGCTCACAGGCTCCCATTCCCAACTCCAGTCATCCTCGGACCTTACAGAGACAGTTACCCCCGTGCCCTCTCCGTTTCACAGCCCCCACCCCTTGTCTCTTTGCCTCTGTCATCCTCCTTCAGCCTGTCGTGAACTCTTCTCCATACCCCTCTTACCCGACCCTACCTGCCTGCCTGACAGACCCACAGCAAACCGTCAAGTGTGTGTTGAATAAATACCTGCTCCCCCAGAACTTTCAGGAACGTGTAGTTTTGAGAGTGTGTGTGTGTGTTTGTGTGTGTGTGTGTGTGTGTGTGTGTGGTGGGGGTGGTGAGCCAAGAGTGTAGAGAGAGGATTATCTAGTAAAAACATAAATGATTTCAAATGGTAGTAAGGACCATAGCAGAAGACAACTGGGAATGAAGTCAACGAAGAGGGTGATTCTTTTTAAATTTTTTTTTTGTAGGTATGGGGTTTCACCATGTTGCTCAGGCTGGTCTCCAACTCCCGGGCCCAAGTGCTCCTCCCACCTCAGTCTCCCAAGTAGTGGGGATTACAAGCGTTGTCCACTACACCTGGCTAATTTTTGTATTTTTAGTAGAGATGAAGTCTCGCTCTCTTGCCCAGGCTGTTCTTGAACTCCAGAGCTCAAGTGATCCTCCTGCCTCGGCCTCCAATGTTCTGGAATTCCAGGCGTAAGCCACTGTGCCTGGCCAGGGTGATTCTTTAGTTAAGCAAGGACAAGGGTAAGCTGCAAGAGAAAAGGGAGAGGGAGCAGGAAGATGGATGGGTCCCTGGGCTAGCCTGCAGGGACCGCACTCTGGTTATTTCTGTGTGCTCCCCCCTTACCAGCTGACGCCTTACACTGGTGTCTTAGTGGAAGGCATGGACACCCACACAGCATGCCACCCCAACAGGGAACATCCCCCAACCCCTTTTCATAGACAGCTTTGTTCCCAGACTGGAGTGCAGTAGCGTGATGCAGCCTCAACCTCCCAGACTCAAGCGATCCTTCCACCTCAGCCTCCTGAGTATTTGGGACCACAGGCACGAACCACCACACTCAGCTAATTTTTTTTTTTTTGGGGGGGGGAATGGAGTCTCGCTCTGTCGCCAGGCTGGAGTGCGGTGGCGTGATATCGGCTCACTGCAACCTCCGCCTCCCATGTTCAAGCAATTCTCCTGCCTCAGCCTCTCGAGTAGCTGGGACTACAGGCGCACACCACCGACGCCCAGCTAATTTTTTGTATTTTTAGTAGAGACGGTATTTCACCATGTTGACTCTTTTATCTCTTGGCCTCGTGATCTGCCCGCCTCGGCCTTCCAAAGTGCTGGGATTACAGGCATGAGCCACTGTGTCCGGCCAAATTTTTTAAGAGATGGGGGTCTTACTATATTGCTCAGGCTGGCCTCAGACTCCTGGCCTCAAGCGATCTTCCTGCCTTGGCCTCCTTAACCATTGGGTGTACAGTCGTGAGCCACCATGCCTGGCCGCCATTTTTGCTGTCATTTGACTTAACTCTTTACTCCCCAGTCCCTCATCTCAGCTCTCCTTCCTCACTAGGGTATCCATCTCATGACTCCGACCCCGCTCCTTTCCCCAGGCTCCTCACTATATGCCCCTCCTGCCCATTCATTTCCTTAAACTACTTCAATTCTCAGAGCCTTCAGAATGGCAGGAGACAGGGATTAAAACAGCCACTCCAGGAAATGTCATCCAAACAGGCACTGGGAGGAACAGGGGCCAGGATGGTAACAGAACTGATCCCAGAGGAAACTGAGCTCACATTTGTATTTCATTCAGGACAGGCAGCGTTGACCAGGCTGTTTTGCTTCCTAGGGCTGCCATCACAGTATCACTGTGACCTGCTTCAAACAACAGGTGGCCAGAAGTCTGAAATCAAGGTGTTGGCAGGTTTTTTGTTTTTTTGTTTTTTGAGACAGGGTGTCACTCTGTCGCCCAGGTTGGAGTGCAGTAGTGTGATCTTGGCTCACTGCAGCCTCCGCTTCCCAGGTTCAAGTGATTCTCCTGCCTCAGCCTCCCGAGTAGCTGGGATTACAGGTGCCCACCACCACTGCCCTGGCAACGAAATTCATTTTAAATTGTTGCTCCTGGCCAGGCGCGGTGGCTCATGCCTGTAATCCCAGCATTTTGGGAAGCCGAGGCAGGTGAACCACGAGGTCAGGAGTTTGAGACCAGCTTGACCAACATGGGGAAACCCTGTCTCTACTAAAAATACAAAAATTAGCTGGGTGTGGTGGCATGTGCCTACTCAGGAGGCCAAGGCAGAAGAACTGCTTGAACCTGGGAGGCAGAGCTTGCAGTGAGCTGAGATTGTGCCACTGCACTCCAGTCTGGGTGACAGAGCCAGACTCCATCTCTAAATAAATAAAATAGTTGCTCCTGGTTGCTGTGTGGAACCTGAAGTTGATTCAGGGTCAAGGGTGGAGGCTGGCACTGTTCTTTAGGGGAGCAATGATGGTGGCTTGGCGGGCAGTGGCCATGAAAATAAACATATCCTTTTATTATTCAGTCAACAAATGTTGAACTGAGCATGTACTATGTGCCAGGTATTGTTCTAAATACTGAGGGATACAGCTGCAAACAAAACCAAGTCCCTGCCTGATTTGAAATAGGGAGATCCAGGCGAGTGGCTCATGCCTGTAATTCCAGCACTTTGGGAGGCCACGGTAGGTGGATCACTTGAGGTCCGGAGTTCAAGACCAGCCTGGCCAACATGGTGAAACCCTGTCTTTACTAAAAAATACAAAAATTAGGCAAGCGTGGTGGCACATGCTGTAGTTCCAGCTACTCGGGAGGCGGAGGTTGCAGTGAGCTGAGATCGTACCGCTGCACTCCAGCCTGGGTGACAGAACGAAACTTATGTCTCCAAAAAAAAAAAAAAAAAAAACAGAAATAGGAAGGTCCTTCACTGAGTAGATATTTGAGCAACACCCTCATGAGGCAGGAACCACGTGGCTATTGTGGGGAGAACGTTGAAGAGACCACCCTGTATGCAGGTGCCGTGCCCAAGGCTTGCAGGTAGCTGAGTGGATCAAGTCGGGCCACAGTGTTGGCATCTCCATGGACAGCCCCCTTTTCTCTCCCAGGGGTCTGTGAGGTCAACCGCCAGAACCGAGCCGGCTACTCAGCCCTCATGCTGGCTGCACTTACCTCTGTGGGGCGGGAGGAGGAGGACATGGCCGTGGTCCAGAGACTCTTCTGCATGGGCGACGTCAATGCCAAGGCCAGTCAGGTGCGTGGACGCCCCCACTGTGGCTCTCAGCCAGCAGTCACTTCCACTTTCGGAGTCAACCCGTCTGTGACCTCCCTTCCCCGAGCCTACCCCAGCCTGTCCCCTCTTCTTCCCCACTCCCCAGACGGGGCAGACAGCCCTCATGCTGGCCATCAGCCATGGCCGACAGGACATGGTGGCAGCCCTGCTGGCATGTGGAGCGGATGTGAATGCGCAGGATGCGGATGGGGCCACGGCGCTGATGTGCGCCAGTGAGTATGGGCGCCTGGACACCGTGCGGCTGCTGCTCGCCCAACCAGGCTGCGACCCTGCCATCCTGGACAATGTAAGACCCCACAATGGGGCTGGCATCCTGGGGGGTGCCCATGGCTTGGCTCAGGGATCTGACTGTCCCTAACATTCAACAGGAGGGCACCAGTGCCCTGGCCATCGCCTTGGAGGCTGAGCAGGATGAGGTGGCCGCTCTGCTACATGCCCACCTGAGCTCGGGCCAGCCTGAAACCCAGGTGAGCACAGCTCTAGAGAAACCAGCCTTCCCAGCTGCAAATTCAGTCTGCAGAGGATAGTAAATATGCCCCAGACCTCCCTTTCTGCCCCCCAAAGGTGGCACCAGGGGTGCAGAACCAGTGTCTAGATTCTCCTATGTGGCTTTTTTTTTTTTTTTTTGGAGACAGGGTTTCACTCTGTAACCCGGGTTGGGGTGTAGTGGCGTGATCAGAGCTCACTGCAGCCTCAAACTCCTGAGTTCAAGGGATCCTTCTGCCTCAGCATCAAGTGCTGGGATTACAGGTGTGAAACCAGAGCGCCTGGCAGGGGCTGGGATTTGATGTGAAAGCAGCAAAACCCCAGTGAGGTTGACACTATCCCAGGTCATGAGACTGAGGCCTCAAAGGGGGAAGCAACTTAAGGTCACAGAGACCTAGCTAAGACCTTTCATGCATGCCTGGGCTCCTGCTACCTACTGCCAGGGAGGCTCTTATCAAAGGAAAAAGGGGCCAGGTGCAGTGGCTCACGACTGCAATCCCACCACTCTGGGAGGCCGAGGCGGGTGGATCATGAGGTTAGGAGATTGAGACCATCCTGGCTAACAAGGTGAGACCCCATCTCTACTAAAAATACAAAAATTAGCTGGGCATGGTGGCGCGTGCCTGTAATCCCAGCTACTTGGGAGGCTGAGGCAGGAAAATCACTTGAACCTAGGAGGTGGAGGTTGCAGTGAGCCGAGACTGCACCACTGCACTCCAGCCTGGCAACAGAGCGAGACTCTGTCTCAAAAAAACAAAACAAACAAAACAAAACAAAGGCCGGGCACGGCGGCTCAAGCCTGTAATCCCAGCACTTTGGAAGGCCAAGACGGGCGGATCACGAGGTCAGGAGATCAAGACCATCCTGGCTAACACAGTGAAACCCCGTCTCTACTAAAAAAAAAAATACAAAAAACTAGCCGGGCGAGGTGGCGGGCACCTGTAGTCCCAGCTACTCGGGAGGCTGAGGCAGGAGAATGGCGTAAACCCAGGAGGCGGAGCTTGCAGTGAGCTGAGATCCGGCCACTGCACTCCAGCCTGGGCGACAGAGCGAGACTCTGTCTCAAAAAAAAAAGAAAAGAAAAAAAGGAAAAAGGAGACCTTTGGCATCAGGCAGGGTGGGGAAGCGGGTCTAGAGCTTCAGAACTGGAGATGGGGTGAGTTTGCAGAACACATTGGCCCCCAACACCACTATACTCTGATGGCAAGTGCCAGGATGTTTCAGCACTTTCATAATCAAAGTATCAGCCCACCCATCCCGTACAGGTTGACCCCAATTTACCATGGCTCCACTAACAATTTTTTATTTAGTTATTTTTCAGACGGAGTCTTGCTCTGTCACCCAGGCTGGAGTGCAGTGGGGCGACTGCAGCTCACTGCAACCTCCACCTCCGGGGTTCAAGCGATTCTTCTGCCTCAGCCTCTCAAGTAGCTGGGACTACTGGCACGTGCCACTATGCCCAGATAATTTTTTTCTTTTCCTTTGGAGACAAGAGTCTCGCTCTGTCACCCAGGCTGGAGTGCAGTGGCACAATCGCAGTTCACTGCAACCTCCACCTCCCAGGTTCAAATAGTTCTGTGCCTCAGCCTCCTGAGCAGCTGGGATTACAGGCATGTGCCACCATGCCCAGCTCATTTTTGTTTTTTTTTTTTTTTTTTTTGAGACACTTGCTTTGTTGCCCAGGCAAGAGTGCAATGGCACAATCTCGGCTCACTGCAACCTCCACCTCCCAGGTTCCAGAAATTCTCCTGCCTCAGCCTCCCAAGTAGCTGGGATTACAGGTGTGAGCCATTGCGCCTGGTACCACTTACAATTTTTTGACTTCATGATAGTGTGAAAGCGATGTGTACTTAGCAGAAACCACACTTTGGCAGAGTATTCAATAAATTACATGAGACATTCGACACTTCATTAAAACAGGCTTTGTGTTAAACGTGTTTCCCCAACTACAGGCTAAGGCGTTCTGAAGAGGCTAAAGATGGACCATGCTAAACTGTGGTGTTTGGTAGATTAGGTGTATTAAATACATTTAAACTTGCAATACTTTCAACCTATGATGTACTCACCGGATGTAACCCATTGTAAATTGAGGAACACCTATACTTGCCCCACTGGAAGAGATGTGGGAGGAAGGTCAAGCGCCTCTTCCAGGTCAGAAGGGGCAGAGGTAGGATACAAACCAGGCAGCCTGGCTCCACTAGGTGAGGCTAGTGCTGAATCCCACGTTTCCTGCCTTAAGGAGATTGCAGCAGGCCCCCCTCTTTTCCCCTCTCTCCAGAGCGAGTCACCCCCTGGCTCCCAGACAGCCACACCTGGTGAAGGAGAATGCAGCGACAATGGAGAGAACCCCCAGGTTCAGTGAGCTGCCCCGTCTGGCTCACTACACCTAGCTGTGGGGAGATCTCCTCCTCAGTCACCTCAGTGTTTGGCGCACAGAATGGTCCAGGGTCCTCTGCTCAGAGGCTAACACTGGCCGAAGAGAAAGGCAATTTCAGTCGGGGTGACTGTGACAGGAAGGGGCTCACCCTGGCCCCACCAAAATGAGGTGGGGACCAAGGAGTGATATAACCCTGTTTCACCCACTCTCTGAAACTTCTTTGGTAATAAAACATTCCTACTACGCTTGTGTTTTGTTCGGGGTAGAGGGTGAACGTATACAAACACGACCCCCCCGCCTCAAAAAAGAAAAGCTTCGTTTGGCAAGACCCCACGGCCAGGATGTCCAGAGTGCGGAGGATCGGTGACCAGCTGGGAACCACTCAAGAAAACTAAAGAAACCCTAGTCGCATAACCCAGACAAGAACCCGAGTTAACTTGAAACACAAACGCTTTATTGAAAGGAGCATCTCAATTCCGCGTGGCGGGCAAAAAATAAAGGAGCAGATTGTGACACACCAATCCCATCGGCCAAGTGGTCGAACCCAACATCCAAGACCCTGTAAACAGAACCAAACATGAGATGCTGACGGGCCCTGCAGCAACTGGCAAACTCCCGCCTCTCTCTGGTGAGTCTCTGTAGACTGTGCTTCCGAAACCCTCTCACCCTGGGCTTAACGAAGCCTCCCTACCACCAACCAAGGGTTTATCAAAGGGGTGTCCTCTGCACCCACCAGCGAGCAGGCAAGCTCAGCGCAACCTCCGGGCTTCTCGCTCTGACTCCAACAGGGTGAGCACGTCGCCCTCGCGCACGGGGCCTTTTACATTGCGGATGATGGAGCGGCTCGTGTCGTCCATGAATTCCACGCGCACCTACGGGTCCCCACCAGGGAGGGGAGGAAGAAGTTAGGGCGAGCCGCGGAAAGGCACCGCGAAGTGGGAAGGAGATATGAATTCACAGAACGTGTAGGGCCCAGAACACAGATCGTTAAAGGGAACTATCAGAACCCTGGGATGAAATGAGCATCGGTTCCTGGATTCCGGCTGGCAGGGATTAGGACAGGGTAGCGGTTTAGGTCCCCGGCAATCGGCCAAATGCCCCCACCCGATTACCTGCGTGCACTGTCCCTGAGAGCCGGTCCTGCCCAGGACCTTAGTGACCTGGAGGAAAGAAGCTGGGTTCAGACCTGGCCCGTTCGGCTCCTCCACTCCCTTCCCCTGCCCCCGAATTCGGGCCCCCACTTCACCCTGGCGAGCTTGATAGGCTGCACACGGCTGGTGTCCATGATGGCGGCGCGGCGGCGGTCTGGCGGAGAGGAGTCACGTGCTTCGCAGAGAGCCTTTATAGGACATCCTAGCCCCGCCTACTCCTGTCTCGCGAGACCACACCGCGTCTTTCCCAGCAGCCCCCGCGGTGGAGACGTCACTGGCGGCGCCCTTCAGCATCTCGGACGGAAGATGGCGTCCGCCACCCGTCTCATCCAGCGGCTGCGGAACTGGGCATCTGGGGTGCGCGGGGCGGACAAGGCCGTACCATGGGGGGCTTCGGACTCCGTGTTTCTGGACCCGCTCCTGCTCCTCACCTCCCTCCTAAACCGGGACCCTTCGCTGTCCCCGAATCTCCTTAGGAACCCCCAACTCGTGACCCCTTTAGCCCGGGACCCTCTCCTCTCCTGGGAACCACTCAGGCCTGGGATTTCCCCAGTCCCCGACCTTCTTAGCTTTGGATCTTGTGGGCCCAGACCCCGGCTTTCCTCTTCACCTGCAGGACCCACATCCCTTTCCCCGAGTGTTCATCCCCTGCCTTCCCTCAAAATGCGCATCCCCGGGCCATCCCTGGTCTCTCGCCCTGTCCTTTCCTTTCTATTGGGGTGCCTTGCAGGCCGACCTCCCCTCTCCTCTTCCCACAGCAAGACCTGCAGGGGAAGCTGCAGCTGCGCTACCAGGAGATCTCCAAGCGGTGAGCAGGCCCCGCTCGCTGCCCAGCCTCTGGCTCTGTCCTTTCTCCACCAAAAACAAAATCTGTGTTCCTTTAGACCCCTGAAACGCAGGACTGATATCCTGCCACCAGTCCCCTGCCAGGCTGTGGAGGCAGAGGTTTGCCTTTAACCTTGCTGAACTCCGGAGACAGCCCTCCTGGAACAGCGAGGCCGGGCGTGCATTCTGAGTGGGAATCAGGCTAGATTTGCAGTGCTCAGTGTGACCATGTTAGTCAGTGTTATCCCCAAGCTACAGATGAAAAAGGAGGTCCAGAGAAGCTAAATCATTTGCCTGAAGTCACTCAGAAGCTAGAAAGTGGCAGCGGGGACTTGAACCCAGAAGTGTCCTGATTTCAGACTCATTTATATTAAAATATTAGTTGATATTTACAAGCCCCTGTCATGTATGACCTCAGCCTTGGGTTTAACTTTGTGAACCAGGAAAGTTCTTATCCACATTCCTTTCATGGACACCACATCCTAGGGAGAAGCTTAGTAGGGAAACAAACACAGCAGATAGTATTGTTCTGGAATACTTTGAAAACAAAACAAAATGAGTGGAAGCTGGAGGGTGGCTACGTAAAGTCAGATGATTGGGAAAGATCTTTCTTCGGGAATGACAGTTAAATCACCTGAATGATGGGAAGGACCCGTTCAAAGAATAATTATTAAAAAAGCATTCTGGCCGGGCGCGGTGGCTCATGCCTATGATCCCAGCACTTTGGGAGGCCGAGGCAGGCAGATCACGAGGTCAGGAGTTTGAGATCAGCCTGGCCAACGCAGTGAAACATAGTGAAACCCCCTCTTCGGTAAAAATACAAAAGTGAGCCGGGCATGGTGGCGCACACCGGTAGTCGCAGCTACTTGGGAGGTTGAGGCAGGAGAATCGCTTGAACCCGGGAGGTGGAGGTTACAGTGAGCTGAGAACGCACTACTGCACTCCAGCCTGGGCGACAGAACAAAACTCTGCCTCAAAAAAATTACAAAAAAAAAAAAAAAGAAAAGAAAAAACATTCTGAGCAGAGGGAACAGGAAGGGCTAAGACTGTCAGGCTGGACAGAGCCTGAGTAGGAAGGAGGCCAGTATGGATGGAACCCATTGAGGGAAAGGGATAATGGTATAGTCTGTGAAGTCAAAGGGATAGGCAGAGGTAAGGCAGTCATTGAGGATTATAATGAAAGGAAGAAAAGTAGCGTTAAAATAACCAAATTTATGTGAATGCCTACATGTTGTGACTAATTCCAAATATTAGAAGTATCACATTTTTTTTGTTTTCAACTTTAATGTTAAGTTCTGGGGTACATTTGCAGTTTCGTTACAAAGGTAAACATGTGCCATGGTAGTTTGCTGCAAAGATCAACTTATCACTTAGGTATTAAGCCCAGCATCCATTAGCTATTCTTCCTGATGCTGTCCCCGCTGCCCCCACAATCCCCCAGTTGGTTTTCTATCAGGGTAGTTGTGGGCCAGTTGAGGAAATGGCTTTGTAAAAGTTTTGACTTTTTTAGGATGACGGCGCCCTCTAGTGATTCATCTGGATGTTTGTTTTTGTTTTTGTTTTTGTTTTTTGAGATTGAGTCTCTGTCACCCAGGCTGGAGTGCAGCGGCACAATCATAGCTCACTGCAGCCTCGAACTCCCAGGCAAGCCTCCCAAGTAGCTGGAACTACAATCACATGTTACCGTACCTGGCTAATTTTTAAAATTTTTTATAGAGAAAGTCTTATCATGTTGCCCAATCTGGTCTTAAACTCCTGGCCTCTGGCCAGGCACAGTGGCTCACGCTTGTAATCCCAGCACTTTGGGAGGCTGAGGCAGGCGGATCACAAGGTCAGGAGTTTGAGAACAGCCTGGCCAACATAGTGAAACCCTGTCTCTATTAAAAATACAAAAATTAAGCTGGGCGCGGTGGCTCACGCCTGTAATCCCAGCACTTTGGGAGGCCGAGG